AGTGTTTTCAAACTGCTGACCTTCAGATGAGCAGCCACACGTGGAACCACTGCCACCAGGACTCCTACCCAAACTAAACCCACTGCCACAGAATTGATGGGGACCCCGGGGACCCCTTTCGGAGGCTGCAAATCTCCATGGGGGCAGGAAGCCTCATTTTTCCCTTCTCATGGCACTGGAACTCTTCACAGTGAAGATGCAAGGGGAGGGTTCACAAACACTTCCAGACTTAAAGTCACCACGTTTCTCAAGCAGCTAGAACTGTCCTGGTCTGCATTCCAGAAGAAGGATTCAGAAATGGCTCCTAATTAGATCCATCGCCAGGCACTCTTAACTCAGATTCCCATTATAGATTCCCAATAGCTCATAACACAGTGAAGGTTTGAGAGGTGCCGTGCGTGTGAATTAGACATCTGAATAATTAAGTGACAGATGTATGTGCAAAGCTCTCCGCTGGGCACTACTACTGGTTAAAGATCGTGGTGTGAGGGTAAGGTAAAAAGGTTATTACTGCAAAACATCAGAAATAGTGATTACAAAGGTCAACATTTGGAGCTATTGCATCTCTGCAAAGCCTCCATGTATGTCTAGACACAAGAGGAGCCCTGGTGGCAGAGCGAGTTCCACGTGGGACTGCTGACTGCCAGGTCAGCCACTCAAAACAACAGCTGCTCTTTGGGCGAAAGATGAGACTCCCGATTCCCATACGAGGGACAGCCTGAGAAACCCCCAGGGGCTGTTCTACTCTGTCCTGGAGAGTCAGAATCCACTCGGTGGCACTGCTTTGGGTTTGGAACGGATGCACTTCTGAAGGCGACATGACCCCTCGAATCCTCCCCCGAAGAGTTCCGTCCTTCCCCATGTCCACTCTGTCAGAACAATGTACACCGCCTCCTTGAGGGGCTCCCATTGTGCTCCTTGGAAATGGTCTTCAGAACTGGGGATGAAAAAGCTGGATGGGGCCATGGGGCGAGGTTTCCCCATCAAATTCCCTTTGATCCCTTTGCAGAATGAGCAGGTGCATTGTTGTGATGGAAAACCTACTGAGCCACTTCCCTGGCCCGGTTCTCACCCGTGTGGTTTCCTGTGTTCTGAAGATGTCTTTATCATAAGCGCTGTGCTATTCCGTGTCCTTCAAAAAAATCTCAGCCTATCCCTTTGGAATCCCAAACAAGACACAATCGTTTGAGTTGACCTCTGCCTTGAATTCAGCAGACACACGAGGCTCCCTTTAGGTCTTGCTCTCTGTATCGTCTGGGTAAATCTAAGATCTGTCCCTGGTCATGATCAGCTCCATCAACGTGATCCTCAATCTTGCTTAGAAGACCGATGGAAAGGCCAGCTGCTTGAACTAACTGATCTTCCTGTGTTTGGCTGGAGCTCAGTAGCCATTGCATCAATCCCATGGTCAATGGTAATTCCGTGGTCTTCTTCTACCCATTTCTGGACTTCAGCCACCGTTGTTCATCAAGATCAACCTTCCTTAAACCACTTGATCCACATACAAATGGGGGTTCTGTGTGGAGCAGCATTACCCATAAAGTTGTTGCAAAGCTTCCATGATTGAGTCACATGTCCACTTACTAGCCCTGACCTGAAAAAAAATTTTTTTCCATGACACAAAAAGTATCTCTTTTTCTAAAGCACTGTACTGAGACTTAAAAGCCCTGGTAGCACCGTGAGTTTTGCCTTGGGGTGCTAACCCCAAGGTTGGCAGTTTCGAAACCACCAGTCCCCACTGTAGGAGCAAGATGAAGCTTTCTACTCCAGTAAAGATTTACAGTCTTGGAAACCTACAGGAGCAATTCTACTCTGTCCTTTAGGGCCACTGTACGTCAGAATCCACTTGATGACCATGAGTTTGACTTTGGTTAGACCAAGAACAAGACAAGTGTAAAATGGACAAAGAAGCAGAGCCGGCATGCTCCTCAGAGGCGAGGACGGCAAGACTTCATCTTACATGCTTTGGACATACGGTCAGGAGAGACCGGTTCCTGGGGAAGGACCTCCTGTTTGGTAAAGAGGTAAAGCCAACAAGACAAGGCCCTCCAGGAGATGCATTGACACTGTGGCAGCAGCATTGGGCTCAGACATAGGAACCCTTGTGGGCATGGCACAGGACCGGGCAGGGTTTGGTTCTGCTGCAGGCTGGGGGCAATGCCAGCACTGCAGGGTGGATGGGGTGAGGTTTCGGAACGCTGTGGGTCGGGACAGACTCGATGGCACCTAGCACAGCATTACCGAGAGAGCTTGTCTGGAGCCATCTGCTGATCCCAGGGACATGTTCAGACGCATTTTGCTTAGAATAAACCTGGAGCCCCAGTCGCGGTCCTTCTAAACTTTGTCTCGTATAGTTGGAATTCGTGATTATTATTTTCATTTATTGAATTCATAATAATGATTATTTACAGCAAGGGCTCTCTGGGGACAGATTACCCATTTTACTAGCCTCTCTCTCTTTCTGAGTTCTTTTTTAAAAAATCATTTTATTGGGGGCTCATACAACTCTTATCACAATCCATCCATCATCCATTGTGTTCTTTTTGAGTTTTTAATCTATTCAAGAGATAAGATGTACACACCTAAATCAATTTGGTAGATGATAAAAAGAGTATCGAGTATCTAGTGCAAGCTCATGGGTGGGAGAGAGCACTCTTTCTGGACAATGAGGGAGGATAATGGAGGAGGTGGCACTGAGCCATGGAAGAAGCAGGAGGATTTCAGCTGGTTGGGCTAGAGGAGAGGCAGCAAGGAGGGGGAGCAGCTTGAGCCAAGGCACAGAGATGGGGGCAGGC